ATGGTCCGGACATCGGTTTGTTGAGACGCATCACAATGAGCCAAAAACCATGGTTACCGAGTTACCGATGGGTGCCCAGGACTAAATTGGTCAACTAGTGTGTGCGCGCGCAAAAGAACTGAGAAATCAGAGTTCGTCGGTCCCGCCTTTTGGCGCAAGTCCAAATGCCTGAAAAATGTCAAATAAGCCGTGGGCCATCTCCGCACACACCTTATAGTTTGGGTTACACACAGACCAGTCAAGGTTCGGGCAGCGAGTAATGTGACTGACCGATCCAAGTCCAGGATAGGAAGCTTCTGGAGTCGTTTATCAAATCTGGTGCGGTTGAGATCAGAAGGACTACGAGGGTTAAACTGAGAGATTACTCGGACGCGAATGACAGACCATGCAGCAACAGTGAGGGATAGTGATGTAGGCTTAAAGTCTAACGTGTTCGAAATTCTTGCATTATGTGATAGTTGTTCAGGCTGCGGGGAAGTTTGATCCATTGTTTTCCAGCCCCCAGTCGACTAACAAGTACAATGACCCTCCCTCTCCATTCTAAGTGCTGAGACGTTGCCCGTTCAGAGTTATTAAACACATGGACGAAATATACCGTGGAGTCAAAATATCAAGTAAGGCGAGCGCACGTTTTCCATTAATTATCATCAGGCATGTACTGTAACATAAAGCGAGGTTAGAGTTGGCAAAAATTTAAGCAACTTCTTAATTACCGCTGACTGGTTGCTGTCTATTACATCATTTTTACAAAATAATTTGTGTAAAACTGCCAGGTTGACCGGTCTGGATAATTCCCTGGTTCACTTTGATGTTTTTTAACACCACCCCATTCGATTGATATTTTGTAACTGTTTGCCTTATTAATTGCAAATAATGGTCACAGAAGACTGTTCGTGAAAAAACTTTATTTGAGAACCATTAACATGCCACTCAATGGAACCAAAATTAACCAATTTTAGAAAACTGACAACTTTGAGAGTTCCATTTTAAGTGTCAGCTAACCAGCACTAGTGAATGTTTTCAATTCCAATGATATTTCTTCTGTAATGCAATTGTTTCGGGGGCGGTGAGACCCATTACTAAATGGCAGAAAGATATCGACTATTAAAATGAGCAGATGATCACTGGATGAATTGAGTTGAGTTAGCAGGAAAACGATCATTCTCAGCGTTTAAAAAACCTGCTCCGGCGGGCCTCTTTAACGAAGTTGGACTTACAGACCGAAAGGTGACATGTAGTGACCTCGCAGGCTTGCATGAGGCCACACGATTAGTTGCCTCTTGGACAGCCCCCACGTCTGTCTCTCGTGTCCACGACGAACGTGCGCGCCAGAGCGTATCAAAAGCTGGTTAAGGTCACGGGCGTGTGTTCACCTGCTCTCTGTCCTAACTGACCAATCAATTTCCAGGGCGGGTTCACGAAGGACTTTATTGCAGTGACCACCTAGGCTTAGACGACTCCCGGACCTCCCGGCGATCTCACTGCCGGACTTCAGATGCCCGGACCCGGCTCGCTCACGGCTAGACTGCACTCGTCCGAGAGCCCATTTCCTCTTGTTAATACTCCACTTCTGCTGCAACTAGATGAACTATTCCTAACACTCTGGCCTCCCACATCTTACCTTCTTACTTACTGTCGGGATACTTCTATTATTCGGTCGGACTAATTTTTATGCTACAGGCTGTTGAGAGGTTTAAAACTGCCCCTAATGACTTTGAATATGGAAAATGAGTTCGGAATAAATTAAGCCGCAACTAGATAAAACTGCGTTCGTCTGCCTTGAAGTTAAAACTTAGGCCTACCATCGAATGTAAACAAAGTTGAGCACGAGTTTATTCGTCGTTTGGTTGTACAAAGGTTACAAAAGCGGTTGGTGTTAGTCTGTGGCTCCTTTTTTATGACAGAAAGCCCCAAATAAAGACGGTTAGGCCCAGTACAAAAGCCATTCCGGAATTAACAACAAAGGCCTGTAGGGGCGCCTCCTGAATGCTCAATTGTTTCCGCGTTAATTCTGTGAGGGCTGCAGCCTCCTGCTTGGTGTAGACTGGTTCATTAGCGTCTTGCATGTCCTCAGTACCACATATCCAACGGAGAGCCTTCTTCCACCAAGGAATCACTGGCCTATTTTGCTCAAGCTCTGAAATTGAAAAAAAGAGTGGTCATAGACACTGGAGGTGGCATCTATTAAAAGCGTTGCTTGCAGAAAAAGACAACTGTAGATAGATCTACTTACTCGAATCGTATGCCTCCTTGTCTTCATCAGAGACGATGGTCAACTTGGGGCCATCAAGAAGTTGGTCAAATTTCCGATGTCTCTCAGCGAATACGAGTCTTCTCACCTACGTTGAACACAAATGAATTGCAATTTAATCCCAGTATATATGCCTGAAAAATATTTTATTATAATAATATGGTTTTGATTAACATTTGCTTAAAAGGGCATGATAAATGCCAGCTAAAATCTTGTACGTTGTTTAAATGTTTGGATGTGCTAACAGCAACTTTTGACTTAGAGACTATCTAATTTATTTTGTTTTGATACCTTTTTTACTGTTATATTCTAAATTCAGTCCAATTTAGGTATTAAAAAATATCTGAATTAGGGGTTGTTGGTTAAACCATTTGTATGCTTTAGACAGAGTTTCTGCATTCGCAAATAGAGGACTGTTTTCTTACTCCATTATAAGGTATGCACCAACAAGTGTCAATTTGAAATTTCAGATCAACTCCATAGAACCTTCAGATTTAAATTCATATTCAGATTGCGTTGTTTGAAAAACTCGGTATTATTAATGTCATTGTGAGACTGGGACTTAAAGAGCACACTCCTTAAAACTGCTTACATGAAACTAAATCCGAATTGCTATTTCGTAAGCGCACCTGCAAGCAGGGTTAACTTCTGAACAAACTGTGATAGATAACCAATTAGTCAATTCTTAGGTCACTGAGAGTGTATGGGTCTAAGTAGTGAGTGTACTGGGATCACTACAATCATTGGGCAAAATCCCAGGTTGGAAGTTAAAGGGCAGAAGTCAACAGAAGGAGTGGTTTATTGTGTACAGAATTCTCAATTGCCGTCTCAGGGGACAGTGGCCACTGGCGAAGCCAGGGCTAGTGTTGACTACGTCCAGCCAGACCTGAGAGTGTATGAGACAGTGGTGGCAGTTGCTCAAGTAGGATTGCGAAGCAAGTTCAAGTGTTCTGTTATCGGTGTGTTGCAACTGACCGAGGGGATGTCGCCTGTAAAGGCCCCCTGCCGCTATGGCCAAAGAAGTGGCATAATAAGTGGCCCTTAGATAGGTGTTCTTATTTGGACACTCGTGTATGCGCGGGTGTGTGCGCATGTATGTGCGTGACTGCATAAGCTGAGGTCAACTGTGGGGGCCCTCGGAAAGCCGAAGGAAAGAGGACGTTAGCGCAGCTGTTATCGGTTAGCCAGAAGCAGGCGGGGGATGAGGGCGCCAGTGAAAGGAAGCATTGGAACAGTTATTTGTGACAACACATGCATTTGGTGCAGCGGGCCTTGGAGAACGAAGGGGAAACAGGCACTGTAGCCGTCCGCCACAAGAGAAAGTTTACCTTTTTCTTCATAGCGAAGAATTCATACTTTAAAAGGTGTTTACTGTCTTGCAGGGAGAACGGCATTCGAGAAGAAGGCGACTCGATGACTGGTATAATACTTTT